CGACCAGACCCCAGCACGACCCCACCCCAGCACCACCCTCCCCACAGCACGAACCCGCCCCAGCACGACCATACCCCAGCACGACCACTACCCCAGAACGGACCGACCACAGCAAGACCCCTACCCCAGCAAGACCACACCCCAGCACGACCACACCCCAGCACGACCTCACCACAGCACGACCACACCAGCACGACCACGCCCCAGCACGACCACGCCCCAGCACGACCACGCCCCAGCACGACCACACCCCAGCACGACCACCCCCCCAGCACGACCACCCCCGAGCACGACCACCCCCCAGCACGACCACACCCCAGCACGACCACTCCCCAGCACGACCACACCCCAGCACGACCACACCCCAGCACGACACACCCCAGCACGACCACACCCCAGCACGACCACACCCCAGCACGACCCGATCGATAAATCACAGGGTGCGGAGCACCCCAGCACGAACCCACCCCAGCACGACCCCACCCCAGCACGACCCCACCCCAGCACGACCACGCCCCAGCACGACCACACCCCAGCACGACCACACCCCAGCACGACCACTCCCCAGCACGACCCCACCCCAGCACGACCCCACCCTAGCACGACCACACCCCAGCACGACCACACCCCAGCACGACCCCACCCCAGCACGAGCACACCCCAGCACGACCCCACCCCAGCAAGACCACACCCCAGCACGACCGCACCCCAGCACGACCTTACCACAGCACGACCACACCCCAGCACGACCACGCCCCAGCACGACCTCGCCCCAGCACGACCACGCCCCAGCACGACCACGCCCCAGCACGACCACGCCCCAGCACGACCACCCCCCAGCACGACCACCCCACCAGCACGACCACCCCCCAGCACGACCACCCCCCAGCACGACCACACCCCAGCACGACCACTCCCCAGCACGACCACACCGCCTTGGTTGAGTGGTTGCCTGTCGTCGTGGAATGTTTCGTGGGGTGTCTCGTGGAATGTTTCGCGGGGTGTCTCGTGAAATGTTTCATGAGGTGTCTCGTGGAATGTTTCGTGAGGTGTCTCGTGGGCTGTTTCGTGAGGTGTCTCGTGGGATGTTTCGTGAGGTGTTGCCCAGTTGGGTATCATGAAAACGTGTCCATGCTCCACATGTCTATATCCCTTTCCGGGTTCGTGGGTCCATCATGTTTTTTTTTTTTTTTTGTTTTTTTTTTCCCGGAAAGGGCTCCGGCCCAGGGTTCTCTTTTAGTTGGTAAACCTAATCCCCCGGTGCCTGCTTGAAGGAGGCCGGCGAATTTTTTCCCTGATAAATAACGAGGTCGAAGGAGGCCGGCGAATTTTTCCCTGATAAATAACGAGCCCGCGAAATAAAATTTGAGGATGTCTCGAGCGAAACGCTTGTTTTTGAGCGCCCGCGAATTAAAATTTGAGGATGTCTCGAGCGAAACGCTTGTTTTTGAGGCCGGCGAATTAAAATTTGAGGATGTCTCGAGCGAAACGCTTGTTTT